CTCGAGTGATGGGTTATTTAATGTTTGCACTTTTATTTTTTATTATTTTTATTAAGGAGGAAATATTCATTCATCATCCCTCTTCATGATCATAGCAACTTTACATGTATCACATATCAGGGCCCTATCAAAACCCAAATACCATAAGGGTCGACCTAATTATTATTATGTTTGATCTATTCTTGAGTTTCTAGCTTTTTATCAACCTAAACCCTTTAAATTGTTTATAAAAAAACTCCAATTTTAATTAGACACATTTTTCCATAATTAAAAAGTATTTCAATTCTTTACAAAGCCTTAGCAAGTTAAATCATCCATCCCAAGTGTATCGTTGAATTAGGTTCCTATATGACCTAATTTTCAAATCAAAACTAAAAAAATATAGAATCTACATAAAAATTCATTAAATTCTCTGTAAAAAAATATATTGGCATACAGTTCTAGATTTTAGAGGTTTTTCAAGCTCTTGGGTTACATATATTTTTCACACCAAAAATGTAAATTCAATTCTAAAGCTTTTTATTTTCATGCATTATCTTATATAATCAACCCATATCTTAGGCTTTCACCTTAATCACTTGACCTAAACCGTAGTCCTTAGTTATCATACCTTCCTTGGAAACCTAATGAGGCTTTTATCCAAAAATATCATTTCACTCCAAAGCAAAACCTGAGTTGACCAAGTAGCTAACCCCTAATTTCATATATAAAGCGAAAGTTGATATTAAAACATGTTAAAAGAAATTAAAATCTAGCATATGGAAAAAAGATCAAAGATTAAAATATTAGTTTTAGATTTTGATCATGATTGAATTTATTCATTTTCAATTTTAGATTGATGATGCACTTTTTGCTTCTTAATTTGAATTATTAATCTTGATCTTTTTATCCGGTCATAATAGACCAATGTATTTTTTTTATTATTATTTTAGCATTGATTTGGTTGTGGGATATACTAATTTATTTGAGGTTCTACATTAATTTTCTCATCATCAATAGGATGCTCCAATATTTTTCAAACCACAAGCTGACATCTTTTAGTCACTTGTGCTTCATGATTTTAAAAAATAGTACTATGTGGTATCAATTAAACACATCATATAAAATAGCAATATCTAACCAAAATATCTTTGGGTGGTGACATACATGCACCCTTATTAAAAGGCATAACACATTTTTTGTTGTAAAAAAATAGATTATCTAAGAAATAGCAGAGCATCACTATAATTAAATCATGTTAGCATTAGAATGTTTACTTTTCTATTTAATTAGTTGATATGCTTAGAAGTTGTTACAATATTGCACTTGTAATACAAATTTGCGTATATTATTCCTTAATATAATTTGTAATCCTTATCACATAGCTTTTAAGGTAAGTTATTCCTAACTAATATGGAGTTGAGGATGGATATCACATGAATCCATTATTTGTTTGTGCCTCTTATAAAATGGTTTTATAAACTTTTCAACTAAATGCTTCTCATTATTCTAAGAGCTTTTATTAAACATAACTCCTTATACATCATATTTCTCTTAAAATCACAACAAATGAAGAAATAAGTTCAATATCCATCATTATATCTTCAATATTCATTATATGATTGCTACATTAATTAACTTGCTCAATTGCCAAAAAAATATCTAGTTTTCTTTCTTTGTAAGAAATTACTAAGAGAATTTAATTTTGGCTTTAATTTGAGTTAATTGGAATTAGGATATCTAACAATTAAAAAAACTTCCCACATAACTTAGGAAGGCCATGGACTCAACTTCATTATTTCCTCCATATAATTCCCCTTTTACTTCTAAAATGGCCATGACACTCTCCTACAAAAAAAGTGTTCCCTCGAACCTTCTTAACCCTTATTATGATTGGTAAACAAGGTGTACATATAATAAAATTTAAACTTCTTCATCTTTGAGTTTATGTATTAATGCAGGGATAACAAGAACTTATAAATATAATATCATAAAATGTTATATAGTTAATTGTTGGTATAAATGCCCGTAAATGAACATTTAAAATATATTTATGTTCCCATAAATTATAGTTTATTGTAAAAAGTTTCCAAAAAAAGAACTTTTCTTGGAGCTCAACAGCATGAAGCTTTCTCTCTATAAAAAGTAATATCTTCTTTCATTTTGGAATAGCTTCTCTAGCCAAAGACTTGAATATTATGGTATATCTACTAATATTGTATATGATAGGGATGTCTTTCCAATTCTTCTAGTTCTCTTTAATATGCATTGTATCATTTTTTCAATCCTTTCAAGATTTTACTTCCATGATACCTTCCCATAAGATACTAAGAAATCATTTAGTTGTCACTAACATCCAAGTGAAAACATATTATTAGCTCATAAGCAACAATCCAACAATGACAAAAAAAAAAAAAATTTAATTTTAATTATCTCATAATTTACGCCTTAAATACTTTCTCAATGCCTACATTATTAAATTGATTGTTATCATTAAAGTAAATACTAATAAGTCTTATGTTTGTGTTCATCACTTCAAAGTTCTCCTTGGTGGAAAATTCAGTAATTCAAAATCATAATTAAAGCAATTATAAAAATTTCAAAACTTGTATTGCTACTTCCAATTTTAAAAATAAAAGAGTACTACCATTTTTTCTTACATTAACCTTCATTAAAAGAAGAAGATGAGTTGACACACCAAAGAACAAGTCATGTGAGTTATCAACCATTCTCCAACGCACCACTAGCTTTTTGCAAGACTCAAGTAATATAATGCATATCCATATGGGTAACTAATTTGAAAATCCATATACATAAAAAACAAATTAAATGAATCAATTTATGGGACATAGTGGGAATAACAAGGATCTAATGTCATTTGAAATTTAATTTAAATTTTTGAGCAAAGGCTCAAATGCTAGGTTCAAACTAAATCTGAATGATGTTCAAACAAAGTTCACACTAAGTAGCCATTTGGTTTCTAAAAAAGAAATGCAGTGTAAAATGAATGCAAAGTAATTAAAAGGTAGTATATTTGAAATACTTATGAGTTGTTTGATTAGGTGTAAAATAAATTAAAGATTTAATAATTTAAAATGAAATCAATACAAAGCAAGGTTGGTGGCGGGGACAAAGGGTAAGTGTCAATTGCCAATCAATAGGTGTGGCAGCAATAATAGCATTAGGCAATGATAAATAACCAATAAAAAACAGGGCATGAAGCTGACCGCGGTGATGACGGCTAGTAATGGGAGGCCTAAGGCTGCGACTAGCAGTCAGAGGAAACAGCTATAGGAGATGGTGGCAACCAACCACAATAGGAGTATGGCATTTTTGGTGACGAAAATAACCATATTTTACATTGTATTTAGAAATCCCCTAAATATAAAAAATTGTAAAATACACTAGCATTGAAAAATAAGGTAAATTTAAATTCACCAAAATTGTACAATAAGCTAATAATTAAACAATAGATTCAAGAAAATATATTTAAAATAAGTTCTAATAAATTTCAAACGTATAAAAAGGGGTTCAATCGTTGCTCAAACTGAAACTGAACCTTATAGTCAATTTAGAATTTAATGCAAGTTTAAATCTTATGTTATGGCTTGAAAATTAATTCAAACATATACTTTGAACCACACATTTCGGGTTTAAATCCTGTTAGAACTGGCTTACAATTTAATTTCAGACTTAGACAAGTTCAATTGTTCTCCTAGACAAGTTCAGTTTCTGTTCTGGACAATTTCAGTTATTCTCCTGGATGTTCGCAAGCCGAGCATTAGCAAAGCAGTGAACCTCAAGTTGATTTGATACGGGAGCTTGAGCAGTAGTAGAGCTAAGGATGAATACATAAGTCAGTTTCGCATGCATGAGAATTGGAGTGAAAGATTGCTGTGTGGCATTGATTAGTGTGAAATACAGAACATTGAAGTATTTTCGAGACGGAATTATGTGAGATCTGAGCAATTTTTACGATATATATATATTTATATATATATATATATTTTTTTTTTTTTTTTTTTTTTTTTGCAAAGAAACTATTCATTGCATTGTCAAAAGATATCTAAATTAGTATTTTATGATTAAAATTAGTGAAATTAGGAAAATAAATATTTTAATGTAAAAAATTAATTAATGCTCAAAAAATAATAATGCAATTAATTTTTAAAATACTAAATTTTTAAATTTTAGTTCAAAATTTAAGGTTAATAATATAAAGTTAATGAAATAATAAGAACCAAGAAAAAAATAATAATAATAACAATAATGATAATAATAATAATATTATTATTATTATTATTATTATTATTAGTATTATTATTATTATTATTTATAAATAATAATAATAATTATATAATTATTTTTATTTTTATATTATTTTTATTTTTATATTATTTTTATTATTACTAAAAATTTAAGTTTAGTTATATAATTTAATAAGAATTGTAAGATTAAAAAATAAAAGAATTTCAATTTGATAGTTGAAATGATACAATTAATATAGATTAACTAAGCATAAGTAAATTACGTGTAAAGAAAAAGGAAATTTTAGGCTTAATTATGTAGTCATAACATTGAAATTTAATTAAACTTAAAAAATAAAGGATAATAATCTTAATTAAAATATTGTATTAAAATAATAATAATGATGATGAATAATTAACATTAAATAAAGAATAATTAAGTAATGTGAAAAAATAATTAATTTAAAATTTGTATTTTCTATAGTATATGTATTCAATTAAAGAAGAGTTGTTCTGAGAGAACTCTCTTGGAGAGCTGTGCTGGAGACTTCTCCTAGTAAAGTTGCTCTAGGAGACTTTTTGGGAGAGCTATCTTCGGAGCCTTGAAATCCAAGTCTATTGAGCAAATTTTGTTTTTGGATCCATGATCAACTTGCCCTCTTAGGATTAATGATCAAATTTAATTGTTATAATAAATTATTCTAACGAAAGAACGCAACTGGATAATGATTTAGCTGAATAACATGAAAAACGGCAAGTAAAACCAATAAATCTTTCATAAATTATAAGATCAAATTCCCTTCTTGGTGCAAGTTACATTTGCTTGATATATTTGAAATCAAAAATCCTCCTGTGCAGAAAGACGTAAATAGGTAAATAATTGCATCTAAACTTGAAGAGTAACTGGGAAGGTGCGCTCTCGAAACACCAGCAGTCAAGAGATGTTGATAAAATCAACCGGTACAAGCAGATTTGAAGTGATAATCGTCAATTGTAGAATAAATATGACCAAGATCAACATGGTAATTAATAGCTTCCCTGTTACATACAAAAAAAATTGAAGTCATGATGAGAGTAAGCACAAATAGATGGCAAAAAGATAAATGGAGAAGGCTGGACTGAGCTACATTATCCTTTTGTGAGGAATGCCCAGTCTTCTGACAACTTCATCCACATGCATTCCATGTTCAATAGCCCTGAAACATTATGTTGGGGATTACTACGATTTAGTTAATTATGTAAGATCGTATTATAGGATTTAATATGTTTGGACAAAACAGACAAACGAGACAATCATGACATAAGACTCAATTCCCGATAAAAAAGTATATTAATTTTTTGCACGATAGGAATATAATGCTAAATAACAAATGTTTCATCAAATTACGGTGACAGCTTAAAGGATATAAAGGGGCAAGCGAAACAATAGCTATTCGCACTGAACTACGATCACATTTTCAAATGCTAAGCAACACAGGTTGAAGAATATAAGCAAAGCAGCAAATTTATGAGGAAATTTAATAAAGGTCAAAGAAGCAGGGAAAAATGAAAGATATGGTTTGCTTACAAGCTCTCTGGCTCCTCAAATATACCCAATACTAATTTGTAGATGTCAGCCTCAGCAACAGTATTGCTGGTTGTCACTGAAGACTAAAGGAACATGTAGGGGTTAATGAACGGCTGCACACTGATGGAACGAGCGTACTGAAATTAAACAGTGCCTTACTTGATTGGAAGCAGGGGAATGATTTTCCTTTACTCCACTTGAAGCATTGGTTGCCTTGACTGAATCTCCTCGTAGTTGAGCTGGGGCCACAACCTGCAGCTCCTTTATTATTAGTAGGGGAAAGAGAGAAAAACGTGTGCGTGCATTATGATATAGAGGTCATCGTAAAAGAGGCATCCATTATAGCCAACAATACCTTTTCTCCACTGTGATATGCATGAACTTGAATGCAGTGGATGAAATGGAGAAGAATTTCATTGTAATCGACCACTGCCCTGAAAGAAAGCCCAATAAAACAATAATTTTCAATATTAAAGCATACATCCAACGTATGGATCATCAAGCCAGTATTGTACTGACTGGCTTGATTCAAAGAAAAGAGCTGAAAAAAATGAACAAAGGCTGCTGTTAAATGTGACTGGTACATTTTAATGCCTCTCTCTAATGCTTCGCTGCATCATAACTCCCCACTTCAACTATAATAAGACTGAATGAGCAAACAAGAACAAAAAAAAAATCACCACAGAAGATAAATGTAATTCATTACAGCCTACAATCAAATGAAAAGACAAAATGATTATACAGAAAGGAGCAGCAAAAGTTATGCAAAGATGTGTATACTATCAAGAGTGGAGAGGGTCCTGAGACGTTCAAGGGGGAGACGAGTTTCGAGTTACGAGGAATGACTTCCAGCAGCCGAGTTCAAAACATATCTCCAAAGAATGAGTTTTGAGGTACGAATTCTAGAAGCCAAGTTCTAAGTGCATAATTCGAAGGGATGACTTCTAAGGGAAGATCCCGAGGTCGAGTTCAAAGTGCAGAGTTCTAGAGGATGAGTAAAAAGGCAAGTTCCCAAAGATGAATTCTGGAGGCTGAATTTTAAGTGTAGAGTTCAAAGGGATAAGTTTTACGGCTGAGTTAACTGGCAAATATGTTACCAAAAATCTAAGCCTTAAAAAAGATATTTTAAAAAGAACGGTAACTAATAAAAGGTGTTACAAAGACAATATTAATTACAACAACCAAGCTTGTGAAAGCAGAAAAATAGATCAAGAATCTCAGGAGATTTGTGTATAATGAGTATTCGATTTATAATGTAAACAGGGTGATCAATATAAAGCAAGCAAAGATTATCCAAAATATTAAAAAGCTTATGTTTTTCTATTTTATCTTTTCCTACTTAGCTCAAAAACTTTTTTATTTCATTCTTTTTTCCTTAGTGGCGTGAATTCACGGATAAATCAGGATCATAAATTCTAAAAGATTTGGTGAACAAGGATCATGGCACAGACAAGATGAGAAGTAACATAAAGAGCAAAGTAAAATATCAAGAAAATCACTATCAACATGGATTGCACTAAGGAATTTTGGATTGCCCTTGACATTTGTTTTGGTCTCTCTTATTATTTTAATCGTTGGCCAGAAGAAGCAGATGATTAAAATAATAAGAGACCAAAACATTTGTCAGGGAAAAATCAAAGGGAGTAAGCACCCTCCATCCATATAATCAACATAATTTTGAATAAGAGTAATTATTGCTAGCATGAGAAGGATTATATCCTCTCACCTTGGCAAACGAAGGCAATAAGTACCATCAAGATAGAGCCGATTCGGCCCACTCATAGTAAGAAAGACAAAGAAGAAAAATTGAAACCCCCCAAACAAAATCAGCTAGATAATACTTTCATAGAGAGATCACTGAAATAGAGCTTCTGGAGAGACTTAAAATTCTATCATTGGAATGTTATAGGAGCAATACCAACCTCCATGACCACACAGCTCATTTGAATCGACAATCCACCTGCTCTGAACAAATCATGCTCTGAAATGTTATCTAGTCATCATGACTCTAAGAGAGTCGACACTAATGGTTCAACAACTAGATGATACTAGTGATCACTTCCTATGTGAATTTTGAATGTGCTTTTGTTGCACAATTTGCAAGATCTGTTGTTAATTCACCACGAGCCTAGGGAATTCCTCGACACTTTCAAAACCATTGTTCAGACGTATAACATCATGATCAAGTTCCTAGGTGTAGAGATAAGTATAATACATGGAGACTGAAAACAAACTCGCATTTACTATCTACAGCAAATAGGTAGCGTGCATCTAACAATAATGACAATATCATAATACTATATCTTTTGGACTTGAAAATGCTAAATTCACTTACCAATAATAATAGATGTAATTTTTAACAAACAAAAGAAAAAATGAAATCATGTCAATTATATACTAGTTAACAATAAATTGCTAGAACAATATATAGATACATCAATGAGACTTTTGAAAATCGAAGAGAGTTTAACATGAAATTGAATTCACTTAAGTGCACATTTGAAGTTAGATTCTACCTATGCACTCCATAAGGCATCAAACCAATATCAAAGAGTTAAAACTATCCTAAACATGTCGTCATTCTGAAGCACTAGAGAGATACAAAGATTAACCGACTGACTCTCAAGCTTAAATCATTTCACTTAGAGACCCAAAGACAAATGCTCAACCTTCACCAAAAGTTTGAGTGCAAAATGCTCCTGTCTGGACAAAGTGTGAACAAGCCTTCACTCATATAAGAGGTTTCTTGAAATCTTTATGATACAATTCGACATCAAAATTGGCACGCTTTTGCATACAAATTAGGGAAAACATATATTTTCTTCAATAATGCAAACAACTCAACAAGAATACAAAAGATAAGTATCAACAAAGGTAGGTGACCTCTTCCAATTCCTACTATTCAAGGGATAGGAAATCTCTCCCAAACACTAAACTTAAGACTCACAATCCAATATCATGGATCCTCCCAACCCTAAACATAATAAACTTATTTATAGCAAGCAATAATAATAATTGTAAAAGGCTAAACTGCCCTTATACATACAAAGGACAAAATCAGCCTTAGGCTAAGCACCGGTGTAACACTATGCGACTACTATTAAGTCTCAAAACAGGTGAAAACATATTATTATACCTGAGAGTGGCCCTAAAAATTAACAATTCAATACTCATTCGTGAGACTAGAAGGCAATTCTAACGTAATATACCGACAAGATCCTAAAGGGATCAAACTCAAGTACCCAATTACGAAGGAACAAACTTTTATCTTAATTCAACATGAAAGCTTCAACCATATTTCCAAGTTGTTGGGTATTGTGGAGCCCGATCCACTATTTCCTGAATGGACTATCTCAGCACTTATGGAAATTATTTAAGTTTAACTCATTATGGAATTTATTCTCTGCTATAGCTTGTCGCCTCCCGTTTTCATTTAAAGCGGTTGTTTTTTTTAACAGGAAGAATTAAGGAAAGCTTAATTAATATTGCTTAATTAAGTTTTGCCCGATTAATCTCCCGCCTACTTGATTTACAGAATTCTTGGGTGTTGCCTTAATGGGTCAAAATTGGGCGATTTAAGGAAGAAGGATTGCAAATAGGTAGCTTCTCCCTGTTAGTCTCCGTAGCGTTTGTTTCTTACGGGCGCAGTAAGAAGGAATCACATTGTGGCTTTACGTTAAGAATATAGCAAAGTTTTTCCCCTTGGGATTTTCTGCTTCTCCATTTTGAAGCTCTTGGGTAGAGAGAGAGGAAGAGAAAAAGAGGAGAGAAATAAATAGAGATATTTTTGTAATCGTCGAGGTGATCGACAGATGTAATTCCTCAAAGTTAATAAAATTCTCTACAACTTCGTGGACGTAAACAAATTTGTTAAACCACGTAAATATGTGTGTTTCTGCTGTTTCTGTTTTGCGAATTTTTTTCGATCCGATTTTTATTTTATTGCTATCGTTTTTTCACAACAACTGGTATCAGAGCTTTGGTTCGGATCTAAGGAAGAACAATGGGCAGAGACGAAGTGAAAACATCGAGAATCGAGAAGTTCAATGGCACAGATTTTGGTTACTGAATGATGTAGATAAAGAACTACCTCTATGGGAAGAAACTTCGCCTAACGTTGTTGGGAAACAAACCAGAAAAGATGGACGAGCGAAATAGAATTTGTTAGATCGATAGATTCTAGGGTTTATTCAATTGACCCTGTCAAGATTTGTAGCATATAACGTCATCAAGAAGAGTACTGCAGATCTCATTGCGGCTTTATCTAATATGTATGAAAAGCCATCTGTGAAAAACAAGTTGCACTTGATGAAAAAGTTATTCAATCTGAAGATGGCAAAAGGTGTGCTTGTTGCTCAACACCTGAATGATTTCAATACTATCATAAATCAATTATCGTATGTTGAAATTGATTTTGATGATGAGATACGTGCGCTGATATTGTTGGCTTAAATTCCAAATAACTGGGAAGTCATGAGGATGACAGTTAGCACTTCTACAGGTAAATTCAAATTGAAATATGATGATATTCGTGATTTGATTTTGGCTGAGGAGGTGCGCAGGAAAGATTCTAGTTAGACATCGGGTTCGAGTTTGACACTAATTGTTGATTCCAGAGGGAGATCACATGAAAAACTCAAAAAGAGAAGGATCAAAATCAAAGTCTGATCAACAGAAAACATGCTAGAATTGTGGCAAGGTTGGCCACATAAAAAGAAAGCAGAAATCCTAAGAAGGAAAATGATAGCGCAAATGTGATAATTGAAAAGATACAGAATGTGTTATTCCTGACAGTTCACAGTTCTGTAGGGCAGCTCAATGAGGGTGGTCATTCAGTAGTGTTCTCAGATAGTGCCTGGAAGATTACTAAATGAGCATTAAAATTTGCTCGGGGTAAGAAAACTGACACATTATATATAACTAAAGGTTTACTCAAGCGTAAACACATGAGCCAGAGATGCATTATGGGGAAGTAGAAGAAAGTCAGTTTCCTGAAAAATGACAGAGCGCCAAAGGCAAGAAAATCGGACCTTGTACGGACATATGGTGGAAAACCACAGAGCTATGAAGAAATCTTGCAAGATAAAAATTCGAGCAAATGGGAGCTGGCAAAACTTCCACCAGGGAAGATGGAATTGCATAACAAATGGGTGTACCGGATGAAAATTGCGCTTGATGGCGGTAAGAGGCACAAGGTTGGACTTGTTGAAAAAGGCCTTCAGCTGAGGCAGGATATTGCCCATGTAGTGGATTTGTAAGCAGATTCATGAGTAACCCAAGAAAGAGCTTAAAAGTACAAGGCTACGTTGATGCTGATATGTTAACTAAGAGAGAAACTGAAGTTGTGTGCAGCTTAAATTAGTCTTCTGGCATGAAGACCGGAGCTTTGAGTTACAGAGGTGGAAGAAATTGGAGAAAGTTGGAAGATATCACG